AGTGTTCCGATTAGATAAACTTCAAAAGTAAAAATATATAAAACTGCATCACTGTCGTATTAAAATTGGTATTTACTTGCGTCACTTACATGATATCATCAAGTCATTTCCCAACTAAACATCAATTTTATAATGATTTTAAAAAATATATTTTTAGTCGAATTGATCAACTTCCCATATCTGCCTTATAATAATATGTTTGTCTCCTAACGTATCTTAATTTGTCACCTCTCTTTAATTTCTCTTATTTTGAAAAATATATACTATTTGTTTTTTTTTAAATAATTTATAATTATTTAAAAAATTAATTAAAAAAATTCTTTTATAAGATTCAAACATATAATTCACTAAAAATAAATAATTTTAACTCAAAATTCAATATCACTTGTCATGTAGCTAACCGTCCAAATATACACGATTTGTTTTTTTTTTGGTGGAAAGAATATACACGATTTGTTGGTAGCGGAGGCAGTGGGTGATGGAGAAAAGTCCTTGGCGGGCTACATCTAATCGGCTGTCATTATAGTGACGTGATATATATTAGGTTTACATGACTGTCAATTTTATATTTAAAAATGATTTTTTGTTTTTTTATTTAAAGTATTTAAATTTAATTATCCACTATCTATTATTCATAACAAAGCATTTAAAGTTCATATTCTTATTTTATCCTTTTCAATCCAATCACGTATCTCTTTTCTAATATACTTCTACATGTACGAACTCTTTACATTCTCTACTTCTAAATACCGATCACATTTTATAATGGCACAAGATTATAGGTTAAATATGCATTTATCTCCTTATTTTAATAAGTTTTTTGAAGTTTTTAATCCCTTCTTTTACATTATAAAGTTTTAAATTCTTAAACTTAAAAGTTTAAAAATTTTAGTCTCTAAATTAATAAAATTCGTTAACTCTTTATTAAAATAAAAATAAAATATTAACAAAATTAGTTTTCAAAGAGTAATAATATATAACAATTTACTTTTAAAAGTTAAAAAAAATAATAAATTTAAAAAATTAGTAAATTAAAAATAATTTGTGGATGATTTTACCACGTATATAAGAACAGTATTAGATATTTACGATCAAATTAAATGATTAATTCAATTAAAAAAGTCTAACTAAGATTTAAAAAAACTTGATTCTATTCTTTTAATTAATCTCTTAGACTTTTTGTTTTAATTTAACAAAAAAATTTTTTTAATCTCAGTTAGAATTTTTTCTTCAAATTAAATTAATCGCTTGATTTATTATAAATATCTAATATTATTTTAGTGTATGTGAAAAAATTATCTATTAATTCTTTTTAATTTGCTAATCTTTTTAATTTTTAAACTTTTGAACTAAATTATCATATTTTTAATTTTTAAAAACTAATCTTGTAAATATTTTATTTTCATTTAAACATAGAGTTAACGGATTTCGATAATGTGAGAGCTAAAATTTTTAAAATATAAAATGATGAATTAAAAACTTTAAATTTATTAAAATGAGAGACTAAACGTATATTTTAACCTAAGACTATATCGTTTGAATATTATAAAATTCATTTTCGTTATAGATTTTCTTTTATAATTTATTCAAAGTCAACAACGTGGGAGGAATTTTAGAGATTTTTATCATAATTAGTCAAATATTATACAAATTCAATTGGAGAATTGAACAATCTAGGAGAAAACGAACAAAGGATGTTTGACGGGGTAAAAGGCAAGTGATGTAAATTTCGGTGGAATAAGGGACTTTTAAAAGGAGATTTTATTGATTGCTGAACGAAAATGTTTACAATAGAAGGACTTTTAATTAGTACAGAATACTTAATCTAGTTAATTATTAATGACTCCAATTTCAAGTTTCCGTCGTTGACAATGCTGCTGTTAAACGCCGTGGATCTTGCCATCAATCAGCATTATAGTAATTCCTGGCTGTAAAAGAAATAATTAATTAGATTGTGA